TCTCCAATGTGGAGGGCCAGCCCAGGGCTCCGCTGATCGGGGCTGCTGGCCTCTGCCCCGATAGAGAAGTGAGTGGACTTTTCTTCCTTGGGTTTCAGAGCAGCAGAGGGAGAGTCAGACCCAGAGGCAGAGACCAAGAGTGGATGATGTGGCAGGAAGAAGCAGCCTCGCTCCACCTGGGCAAGGCTCCTGGCACCAGGCAGAGGAGACAGAAAATGGAGAAGGTGGGAGAGTGAGGAGTGAGTCTGTGAGAGACAGAGCCTGTGCCAAAGAGCCGGGCTCACTGCGGACAGACATACCGAGGAAATAAACCATATAGCGGTATGAGTGGCAGCCACCAAAGGGGCCGTCTGCATGGCAATGACGGTCCTCTCAGCGTAGAGGTGCTGGCTCCCCACCAAAGGGGGCGAAGTGAGAGGGGGTGGCACCGAGCTGGCCTGCCTGGAAGCCAGTCACTGTTCATGGACACTGTCACTTTGCCTTTGCCCTGTCACCACTAATGGGCTGTGTGACCTGGGGCAAGTTGCTTCTCGTCTCTGGGCCTCAGTCGTCTGTAAAATGAAGGGGTTTAACTGCATGAGCAATTTTTCTCTTGGGCTCCTAAGGCTGACCATCAGGGGTGTCCGTAAGCAACTTGAAATCGTGTAAAGCGTTGTGTGTGCAAGGACCTACAAACACCCAGGAATGCATTTTTCCGGGCGGATTCTCAGAGGGGTCTGGGACACTTCTGAACCATTTGAACTCTGAGGTCGCACCAACACTCACACACGTGGGCCCCCTTTCCTCCTTCCCAGAACCGGCCCTGCTGGGCGGGGAGCCCCAGGGCGATCCGCACACTCACCTGGGTCGGGCTCTAGGAGCAAAGCCATCAGAGAGAACTGAAAAACAAAACGACACAGAGCAGAGCAAGGCTGAGTGTGCTGAGCCAGGTGGGTGCCTTCCTGGAGACTTTCCTTGGGGTCACACCCCGGCCACAGGAGCACCGGTGTTTTCTGAGGGCTGCAGCTGGGGCCAGGGTTGGAGGGAGGGGTGGGGCCTATTGGAAGACGCTCCCCCACTTCCTGTGTTGGCTGAACATCCATCCGAAGCACCGCCCTTTCTCCTCAGTGTGGGTAAGTGGTGCTTCGCTTACTTTTCTCACGCCAGAACCTGGCTGCACAGGTGGTCAGTTGTGGTGATTGGCATGTATTGAGCATTTCCTCTCTGCCTGATCGTACATTGCTGCATTTAATTCTCATAACGACCTTATAAAGAGGCTTATATTAGCCTGTTTACAGGTGAGAAAATTGAGGCTAAGAGTTCACACAACTGTGATAGGATTTGGATTCACACTCAAGTCTAGGTGATTGCCTTGGGGTTGGGGATGGACAGATGCCTAAAACTCTCCAGTGACTTCTCATTCTTCTTGGAATAAGATACAAACACCCACCACAACTGATAAACGCCACCCCCCAACCCCCCACCCCACCATACTCTTCCCTCCCATTCCCCCTCACTGATCTCCAGCCACACCTGGGTTCGAAATGGCCCTGGCCGAGCTCCTCCCACCTCATGGTGTGATGTGGCACTTGCTGTTCCCTCTGCCTGGAAAGCTCTGCCGCATGATTATCTCTAGGTCTCAGCCTAAATGTCACCTCCACAGGTCTTCTCCGACTCCCTTCTCAGTATGACACCCTCTCCTCGGTTTTGTCACTGTCCCCGTTCATTTTCTCCATGGTCTTCCTTACAACATGTAGTTTTATATTTGTGTTATTTGCATGTTATCTGTCTCTCACATCAGACATGTCCTCCAGGAAGGCAAGGATCTTGTCTGTGTTGTCACTGTTGCAATTACCTAATAACAAGCCTAGCGCTTGGCACATGGCACTCCTCAAAAAGTTTTTGCTGAATAAATAATGATATCGACAGTTCCTCTCGGAATGCTGTATTTACTAGAAAAAGAAAGTTTTACTCATGTAATAGCTGGGATATTTTCCTTCACTTAAATCAGGGGTCATCGCACACATACACACACACGCACACACACACACACATGAGAAAGCCAGAGAGCAAGCAATGTGGCAGAATGTTCACTGTTGCATCTAACTGGGCAAAGGATGTTCATTGTATTAGTCTTTCCACCTTTTTGTAGGTTTGGAAAACTACGCAATAAAAAGTTGGGGAGGGAAAAGGAAGATACAAAAAGGAAGAGAGGCAGTTTGTCTGGACTGTGCCTGTTTAATTGCCTCACAGGCCCCCATCCCTGTCACTGCAGGAAATGAGACAAGGGGCAGGCCTTCTGTTTGGGAGGGGAGTGAGAATGGGGGGGCCAGGCAGAGGAAAGGCAGGTTCAGGTTTCGAGGGTGTTCCTGAGCCTGGGGTGCTTGAATGGAGAACATCTGAAGGCATTACCAAAAAAGGGGCATGAGAGGACCCCGAGATCAGACGTATGTTACCCCTCCTTCATTCTCACCCTCGTCATAGCCAGTCAGCTCTGCCTTGGTCTGGTCCTTTGCCCTGCCTCATCTTCTCTCCATTGAGCTTGTCTGCAGGGAAGAGCCTGCCCCTTTCCACTATCTCCGCCCAGCCCTGAGGAGACGGAGATACCCCCTGAATTCTCCTATTTGAGCTGAATAGCATGGACCAAGCCTGGCTGCCTTCAGCTCTGAGATGTGGGCAGGACAGGAGGGAGGACTTCAGGGCACATCTTTCTTCAAGGCCCAGTATGGAAAAGGACCTCCAAGACCTGTGCCTGGGCCAAAGCCCCGCATCATAGTCCTGATCTGGAGCCTAAGAGACAGCCAGGTGCTGTGTTGCCCACAGCCAGCAGGTGGCAGACGTGCCCTTCCCAGGAGCTGGAATTGGAAGCTGTTGCTGAGAGCGAAACCAAACAAAAAGAAAGCCAGACCTTCCTGGGCTGTGGGGAGCGGGCGTCAGATCCCACGGGCTCTCAGGGAGTCTGAAGCAGCTGCCGCCCAGCTGTGCAGCCTGAGCTGCATGTCAGGGGGTCCCAGGGATCTGAAGCAGGCCCACTCATTCTGTGCACCACTGGGTCCACCACAGAGAGAGGCTGTGGTGAAATGTGGAAACTGGCAGCTCAAACACCAAGCTGGATGTTTTGTGGACCGTATGAGAAAGGCCAGGCCAATAGTCGGTTATTTATGCCATTCAGCTGGATCCTGAAACTAACGTGAGTGATGGTGGGGGCTGAAGGGTGGAGAGACACAGTATTTACCTCCTTCCATTCAGTTTTTCCACAGAGCCAGGGAGCTGATAGAAGTCCTATTCCTGGGACTTGCAAATCCAAAGAGGAAGAAGGATGCAAAGGAAGGAGGAGGAGGAGGAGGGGACAACTATGGTCTCTGTTCACATGTATTAAGAGCTGGCAAGGTGCCCAAAACTGTGCTAAATGCTTTACATGATTTTTGTCTCTTTTATTGCACACGATACTTGATAACTGAGGTACTATAGTTATGTCCATTTTAAAGGTGAGAAAACAGGTTGGCAAAGATTAAGTTGCCCAAAATAGCTCTGCCGGTAGATGCCGGAGCCGAGATCACATGGAACCAGTTTTACATCAGAGCCCTCATTCTTAATCTCCATTGCTATGAGGGATGAGGGCACCACGCTGTGCATAGGTTTTAACGAAAGGATGGAGGAGAAGGAAGCAGAAGAGCTCGCTAACCCTAGGAGATGCAAGGTATTGAGCTAGATTCAAAGATTTGACCCCTGTTCTTGGAAAGCTTTATGAAAGACCTGTCTGGACTATCCTGGTCCTGGCAGGACACAGAGAGGACCATTAGGCCCCAGTGACAACTGAGGAGCCTTAGCTAGTCCTCTGTGGCAAACACATCTCAACAAACATCTCCATCCAGATCGAAAGGAGGGAAGCCCTGCCTGCTTCTTCTACCACATTCATTCTGAGTCTCAGCTAAAATAGCCTGTGGTCACAGCTGCCCTGGATTCTCTTCGAGAGCTGGAAACAGCTGCTTCTCACACATGGGAAGGTAGATGCTTTGTAATAGATTCAGAGACCCCTCTAGGTCCACCTGCTGGTCCATCTATTCCACACTTGGGCTTCCTCCATGGCTCAGGACGCTAGCCTTCCCCAGTGAGGAGCAGGCCTGTGGCAACATTAGTCACCAGAGAGCACGTGTCTGGTGTCTTACAGTCTAAGGTTGGTTAGTGGGGAAGGCAGGGAGGGGCAGAGAGAGAAGGATCCTGTGTCTCTGAGACTTTCTGATTTACAGTGTAATCTTTTTAGGTGGGAAGGCCATTGAGGCCTAATCTATTTTGTCCCATCTTTAATGTAGTGATTATTTCAACTCAGATTCTTCCTTTACCTTTTAGATTGCTAAAGGAACACAAAACAAAAAGGCAGAGGCTAAAAGTGAGCTGATGATTTCCAGGAATTAGTTGATAGAAAATGTTCCCAGAGGACTTGGAAGCAGTGGGGGAGAGAGGTGGGGCTAGTCCTGTCTTTTGAGGCCAGAAGCTTGGCTTAGAATGAAACAAAAGCACAAGATCTTTCACCTGGTAGGTATAAGATTGGGACTCTAATTCTAACCATCCTTTCCTCCTCAGATGTTCTTTCTAGGATGACTTGATGGTCGACCAGATGTCCCTGACCACCAAGAAAGGATTGTATTACTTCTAAGGGCAGATGGGTAGGAAAGAACTCTGCACCATGGCCAAGTGAAGCTGCAGCTGCTGGGCTGGAAGGCAGGCCAAGCACAAGAGTGTATACAGCTCAGCAGGACCAGGCACCACTGCTGAACAAAGAGCTCAAGATCAAGCTGAAGTGCAAAGGTGACAGAAGACAGGTGTTACCAGTGTTCTAGTCATTAACCCAACAGCTGTCTCAGACCATCCTCTCACCCTGGCTCATGATGCAAACATAAGCTATGTCATAAGATGACCATTTGTGCAAAGCCCCTTAGTTCTTTTTTTAAAATGTCGTAAAATACGTATAACATAGTTTTCACTTTAACTGTTTTTAAGTACCCAGTGGCATCAATTACATTCATAATGCTGTGTAACCATCACTACTATCTATACAAAAACTTTTTCATCATCCCCATGATTTCATTCACTCTATACCTATTAAAAAATAACTCTTCTTTCCTCCTTCCTTCAAGTTCCTAGCAACCTCTAGTCTACTTTCCATCTCTATGAATTTGGCTATTCTAAGTACCTCATATGAATGGAGTCATATAATATTTGTCTTTCTGTGACGGGCTTATTTCACTATGTATAATGTTTTCAAGGTCCATTCATTGTACCATATATCAAAATTTCATTCTTTTTGATGGCCGACTAGTATTACATTTTATCCATTCATCTGTTGATGGACACTTGAGTTGTTTATATCTTTTGGCTATTGTGAGTAATGCTGCTGTGAACATTAGTGAACAAAAACCTGTTTGTGTCTCTGCTTTCCATTCTTTTAGGTAGATACCTAGCAGTGGAATCGCTGGGTCATATGATCATTCTATGTTTAAATTTTGAGGAACCACCACACTCTTTTCCATAGTGGCTGCACTATTTTACATTCCTACCAACAACGCATAAGATTTCCAGTTTCTCCACATCCTTGCTAACACTTATTCTCCATTTTAAAAAAATTCTAGCCACCCTAATAAGTGTGAAGTGGTGCCACTCAGTCCTTCTCCCTCACAAGGAATCTCGCCCTTCTTGCTTTAGCTCACAAGTGTGTAATGCTGTCCTAGGATTGGTGGGTTCACTGTGGCTTTGCTCTAACCTGAAGCTGGGGGACAGGGATGAAAGTCTCCAATGAGGAAATCTAGAGGTCAAAGGAAAAGGCACCAGGTAGTGGTCCCTGTGCATGGTTCCCTGGGAGACTTGGTATAATCTGGAACCTCAGTGATGAGCCAGAAGG